CAACAGCTCCAGTGAGACCATTGTGAACATCCCTATAAGCTGGGAATGCTGCCTTCTCCGCCCCTCAGCCCTGCAAAGGTCCCTGTACACAGCAGAGCAGGAAAGACTCAAAACTGGTATGAGCAGCCAGGGGATGAAAGAGCTCAGCCAGCATCTTCACTCCTCTCCTTTTCCCTCAAACACAAGACCCTGCCAGCACCCAGTGCCTTGAAGCAACCCATGATTCTGCAGGCGTGGGCACGCTGGGGCCCCAGCAGAACCTGCAGCAATTACCACGTGCTAATCTTTAGATAGGATGAGCCTGTTGCATCCACCACATGCCCGGGAAGTACAGCAGCACTGGAGAGCCCAAAGATGTCATGAGGATTAGACACAGCCTTGTACTGAAACACCACCTACTCTCCTTCTGCATTTAAAGAAAGGAACAGCAGCATCTTGTTTCCCTTTTCTGAGGCAGAAAAGCGGACGAGCAGCAGTTTTGAATTGAAATAAAAGACTTCATTGAGACAAACTGTCAGGTTGAAACTGAAATAAAAATTAAAAAAAAAAATCAAGTCACGTAAATGTAAGTTAAACTGCCCTGAAATCAATGGGGTTTATTTTATCTTTGTTCTTCTTGGTACTGGAGAGACATTTGACCTCTGTTTAAAGCATTCCTTGCCCTGTTGTTTCCCATGCTTTTCATCATACATTCCCCTAAGCATCCCACGTTTTGGAAACTACCTTCACTTCCTAGCACCAGCCAGCTCACTTCCTCTGTAGACAAACTCCAGGCACTGCAGCCTCCTAGATGGCTGGAGGCAAATGACCAAGAGCATCCAACTGCCACAGGCAGGCATCATCCCTGTGGGAACTTGAGAGAGGAACCGAGCACAGCAGTCCCACACACTCTTAATCCTTTAGCTGAGGAGGCAGGCCAGAGTTTTAGAGAACTGGAAGTCAGAGAACAAGCAGACATTTATTCAGAGCGGGCAGTGTGAGGGGGAGGACCACCAGCTCCTTCCTGCCTCCGCGGGACTTACCGTCCCTGAATGTCCCTTTTTGTCCTGTCCCCACATCTGTGGCTGGCTGGCACAACGCTGCTCTGTCCAGCGCTGCAGGCCTGCCCCAGGGCCCAGTGGCCAGCAGAAGGAGAAGCAGGGTGGCCACTGCTGGCCACAGAGATGCTGAGCTGGCTGCCAGGCTGATTCCCAAGAGGAAGCATGCCACCCCACTCTTCCCACGAAGAGGCAGACCTTCTCAAATGGCAGGGCGGTGGGCCCACAGGCAGCCAGGGAGGGAGGCTGAACAACAGGCTTGCACTGTTTAACAGGCATCAGAGCCACCAACTTGGAGACAAGAGCATGAGACTGCTTTTTAAAAAAGTCCCACACCCTCAAAAATTACAGCTGCTCAGTATTACTAATCTGAGAAGGTTGAATTGCCACCTATTGCACAGCTGTCATCATAACATGTATCAGAAATTCCAGTTTCAGTAAAAAAACATGCATGTGTGAGAGAGAGAGGCAGCAGCAAGCCTTGGCAGAGAAGAAACGAGCTCTGTCACTCTCTACAAGCAGGAGCAGCTCTCAGAGGAGCCTGACTGCACTCAGCTATGTTAGTAAACTTTGGAAAGTTTTGGCCTACAAAACCACCAGGTTGTTTCCAGTTGCAGCAGTGAAGGTGGGCCTTTTGGACTGGATTTTCCCCTTAGGCTTTGTCAGCCCTAGTGTGGACTGCAGGACTGCATTGAAGACTGGTATCACACTGCTCTGGTGCTGCACAGCTCCTCATTTCAGGTCAAGGCACCAGCAAGGTGAATACAAAACTGATTCATCCAGGTAACCACCAAAACACTCACTGTCTGAGCACCATCACCCATCAGATCAAATAATCAGAAAGTTTTTTTAAAATAAAAATACTTAACATTTATTCACCTTTGAAGTCACCATAGTAAAATTGTACACGCTATGAGTAACCCAGCAACGTTATTAAAAAGCTACCAGAAACATAAGGCAATTTGTACAACCATTGAAAGAAATACACAGCATGTTGAAAACAGAGTGAAATATTACTCAAACAAGACAACGCTTGATACACACTAGAGTGACAAGAACCAGCATTAAGTTTTAAACAAAAATAAAGATGTCATGGCTACAAGTATTATACAGTGATAAATACTTCAAAAATATATTAAGATATATGGAAATTCTCATTTTGTCATGGAAATCCAGAGAAATTCCAGCCTCCACTGGATTTCAATATACCAATTAAGGTTTAATATTTAAGTTCCTTTCCTTTCAGTAAGAACCAGTACTGCAGCCATTACTGTCCTGTATCAATACTTATCTTCTTGTAGTGTAATGAAATCAAGCCTTATGTTACATTAAGCCCTAATGCCTCTTGCATCACAGGCACCAATTGCTCTAAATCAACCAATGAGTTGCCTTTTGGTAACAAGTGCTGTGCACAGCATTTGAAGCCATAAACCACGTTAAATCACAGTCGTTGTTCGCCCACTTTACAGTATTAATGGAAGGCGGGTTTGAAGACTTGCCCCCATGTAAATAAGACATCTCGAACAGAGGGTTTAGTAGCAAGTCCACCATAATGTTTTCCTAGCATAACATCAAGCACTCAGAAGTTACAGTACATGAACCATGCTATAGTTTAGGTTACACCTTCAAAAAGAAAGTCCAGAGGATGTTTGGAGACAACAACTTTTAAACACGCACAAATAGTGCTTTAGTACACGTTTGTTTGTGCTGTTACTGGGTAGCGAGTGAAGCAGTTTATAGCCAAGGGTTTGGTGAGGCAGTTTTCTGAGCCAGTTTAAAAATATAGACTTCTTCTTAGAGGGTCTGTTCTATAGAAAATAAAGTGAAATCTGGTAAATTGTCAGTTTTGAGAGTACTTTCCCGTGGCAAGATCCGTTCATCGGCCTACCGCACCAAGAGGAAAGCCAATCCTGCCATCCCAATCCCCGCTGCGGCTGCCATGATGGCATTGCCAATGGTGCTGCTCTGCTCAGCCGCCTCGGAGCCGTGCCTGCCGAAGAAGCGACAGAAGCCATCCTAGAACAGCAAGAGAAATGACATTGAGTTGCTTGGCTTGCTATTAACTGGATTTCTTTTAACAAGCCTTTGGGCACAGTTTGGTTCACGCTCCCAGCGCAGGGTTTGTCAGCTGTAGAAACCTCTGTTTTAACCATAGAAGTCCAAGCCCACTGCCTTGGGTACACACAAAAATGCTTTGTGAGAGCCCTTGCACAAGGCAACTGAAAGAAGTAGCTACAAGCATTTGCTCAACAGACAATTGCAAACTTCCTATTGAGATGCTCGGCCTATCATTACATTATTTTTGCCCTTTTAGGCAAGTTTCTGACGGAAGCTGCCAGCATTGTTCCCCCTTGAGTTTCAGAAAGCATCTGAAACACAGGATATGGAAATTTCCACTTGAGAGAGACAGTAGGCCCAAGCTGGTCCCATTTTGGTGGACATGGGGCTGATTACACACTCTCTTGGAAGGGCCGGGTGGACACTGCTCAGAGCTGACCTATGACAGAGCAAAGCTGGCAGCTGCTCTCCCAGATCGTTGTGATAATCAGAAGTGGCAGCAATACAACTCCAGATGGTCGTGTTTGAACTCTGCTCCGCAGATGTCTATGTAAACAAGTTATATTCTTAATTTCTTCCGGAACTTTGTTCTTTACACTTTAATTTGTGCGAACAGGCAGTGCGATTTTGCCAAGTGACAGTGTGCACTGCAGCCAACGACCACACTGTTCTGAGCAGTCAGATGGACCAGTGACCACTGGAAAACCAAATTCATTTTGGTCTCTGGAAAAGTCAACGAAACCAGAGGCTGCTTCCCCTCCTTTCTATTTTTAGTGCTTATTTGTATTGACACCAAGTATTCCACTAGGACTGAAAATAGGAAATGTGGACAGTTCTGCGGGATAGCTGACATTTTGTGCAGAAACGCAGGCAAAGCTGCACGGACTCCTTAAAAACCGTACCTTCAGTGTGCATCTCAAGGGACAGAAAGTCCACACCTTCCCCGGGCCCGACCTGACCTGACCGGCTTCGGGACAAGCAGGAACAAGAGCCTGGCGGGTGAGTGCCTCCACACACAGGTGTATTTAAGAACAGGCACATGGGCAGTTTTTCCTTACACCTGGGAGGGGACCTGTGCTAGCCTGCTCACCGACATCCGCAGGCTGCGGACCCAAGGGGGAAGGCAAACCTCGCCCCCTCAGCCAACAGCATCACTCCTGCGGTTCCAAGAGGCTGCACCCCGAGGGATCCGGCTGAGCCGCAGAACAGGGCACCCCCAGGCCCCTCGCTGAGCCACCAAGAGTCGCTGCGGCCAGGAGCCCCCGAGGATGCTCCGCTGGTCCCGCCGTGCCGCGCACGCCCATCGCCGGCAGCGACCCCGGCACGTCCCCTCGGCCGTACCCCACCGCTGCACGGCGCCCGGGGACCGCCCTGCCCCGCTAACCGGGGAGGGGGCGAGGGTTCCCGGCACCCACCCCAGGCCGCCCCCGTCCCCGCTCACCCATCCGCCGTGCGCCTCCAGCCACTCGCCCCGCTCCTCGGCCAGGTAGGCGGCCAGGTGCGCGGCCAGGCAGCGCGGCCCGTCTCCGCAGCCCCGCTCGGCCAGCGCGGCCGCCAGCGTGCCCGCGAACACCACCAGCGCCAGCAGCCGGCCCCAGTTGAGGCCGCCGTCGGCCTCCAGCTGCGCCGCCACCCGCCCCAGCAGCGCGGCCGCCTCCCGCGGCTCGGCCCGCGCCAGCGGCGCGCACGAGCGGAAGAAGGGCCGCTCCTGCCGCTCCAGCTCGGCCGCCGCCCGGCGCAGCGCGGCCGCCGTGGGGCTGGGGGGCAGCGCGGCGCCGCCGCCGCGGTGCTGGAAGTAATCCTCCAGCAGCAGCGCCGTCTCCTCCTTCAGAGAGCCCGGCATGGCGGCTGCCCACGGCGGCGGCCCCGCAGCAGCAGCTGCCGCCGACTAAGAGACGGGGCGGCCCCTTCGCCCGGCCCGGCCCGGCCCAGCCCGGGCGCTCCCCTCCTCCGGGGCGGGGCCAAGCGGGGCGGGGGCAGCGCGTTCCCCGCGGAGAAGGGTCCGCCCGCATGCCCCGGGAGGCGCTTGTGGAGCAGAGCTGCGGGTCTCTCTGGGCAGCCGAGGTTTTTTTTCACATTACTGCCCCAAACCTGTATTTTTTGCACCAAAGGAGATGCAGGTTTTCCAGGACCATGGGATGAATGCATTTGTGTATTTACTCAGCAAATGCAGTGGTGTTTGCTTTTTGATGGGCATATAGGAAAAATTTAGGATTAGGACCCGTCACGGGGCAAAGGGGGGGCCCTTCACACTGTTGGTGTAAAATAAAATGGATGAGAACAACATTGGTGTCATTTGCACAGCACCATGGCGCTATCTCAGCGAGACACCTTGCCTGCACCCCAGCTGTGCCCTTCCAGCTCTGAGTACCATCAGCTGCTTCACAGACTGGTGGGACTCCCATAATACCACCCCAAGACTGATGGTAGATCCAGCACGGGGTACATCCAGCCTGTGCTTCCTGGCCAGTGCTGGTTTGCAGGTGAGGTTCTGATGGTGACCTGGGGCAAAGTGAGGCTGTGACCCACTGTCACTGCACAGCCCTGCAGTGGGAGAAGCATTGCCACAGCTGCCTAGGACCGGGTCACTCTCACCTCTCATCCCACAACCGGCTCAAGGTGACCAACATGTCAGCACAGGACTGCTTGGCTTCATTCCACCTATATTGAGATACAGCTGTCTCCATTTTACATCCCTGTTAGAAAATCTAAAAATAGATGGTTGGAATCAATCCTGTTGCAATTTCTCAGATCGCTGTCAAGAATTGGAGTCGCTCCTAAGGCGAGCTCTTAGTTTTTCATCCCCGTATTTGGCTTTTGTTTTGTTTTGAAGCAGGGAAATACAATCTGTGTTTATGTGCTAGAGCAGTAGCTGGAATGATATCTTTACTTTTCACAAGAGCTTTACACACATGCTTTTTTAAACTATTTTTCCTTACGATTGTTAATCCTGGAGCAGGAATTTCCTATTGCATTCCTCACAGCAGGAGAGCAAGAGGGAGAGGCTGCTCTTTCTCTAGCAATATCCTCTTCCACCCTTCCTGTTTATATAGCATTTTTGTTTAACAGGACGGAGCCGTCCGATAGTGACTGCCCCAGCTATAGCTCCTTCTCTCCATATTATGAAATAAAGGTGTTTCTCACATAAATAGCTTGACAGACTAAGGGGGGGTCTCAAAGTGCTGGGATTTCCAAATCTTCCCTGGCCAGTCTTTAACAAGCAAGAAATACAATGGGTACTTCAGTGTCCTGTTCCTCTATCTGTCGTTTATCTGTCATTTATGATGGGAAGTTGAGTCATTTATCTGATGGGAAGTTGAGGCCTGTCCTGTTTCATGCTTTCACCACTATCTCAGGAACAAAAAAGATGATTTTTTCACAGGTGGCAAGACCATGCAGCCCAATACACAAGTCCATAGGCAGTGGCCCTGAAGTGAAAGAACCACGGGAATTTTCCTGTGTAAGAACCAATGCTAGATGCGATGTCAGCCTCATTCTCACTGGATCTGGTCACAGTTTGAGCACTGATGTCACTCAGAACAAGCTGGCTCAGCACTTTCCCCAGCCCCTGAGAGGAGAGGAAATGAAACAATGCACCTAAATTAAGGAGGTGTTTTTTCAGTGTCTAAACTGAGCACTTCCACCAAGCACCTTCATACTGACCACAAATTCTACACTGAGGTGGAGAGGACAGCTGGCCCCAGCACAGTTCTCTCCTGACAAGGCAGAAAGCTGAACTGCTGCATCTCAAGGTGATCTGCACATCTGGTTCACCCAAACAGTGACAACCCCAGCATTTCAGCGACCAGCTTTCTCTGGCATCCCACTGCAACTCGAGGAGAATCCTATGCTCCCACAAACACATACTCTGCATTTTCCAGATAAGGATCTGGAAAGAAAACATCACATTAGCTGCGATCCTTCTGAGCAGGAAAACAACCTGAATTCTGGCGTCCTGAATGCATGGGGAGCTCAGATGGTGTTTCAGGTACTTTCAAGGACTGCTCACTCTTAGTTGCTGTGGCTCTCCTTGGGTATTTCCAGAAAACATTCCAGAAGCAATTTTCTGGTAGATCTGGGCTTTGCCCTAGATTTTGCTGGAAAAATGATCTAAGGAGCTATATGGTACAAAAAGTGAATGTCAAAAAAAGCAAAAAAACCAACAAAACATAGCTACCATTGCAAGTACCTAACAGCTGGGAAAAACTACTACATACATGTTCTCAATATGTAAAATACAATTTATTGTATTTAGGCTGTTCATAAGTATCAACACAACAAACGTAGTATGTTTGAAACAAACATCTCTCCAATAAATACTATCTAAACATTAATATTAATCTTTTGATCAAATGTGTACAGTGTTTTGACTCAATATTGCACAGTGAGCTCTATATGACATTTCCATAGTGCATTCAGTTTGTTACAGGGATAGTTTGCCACAAATATTGCAAAGCATCAGAGTTGACTTTTCCAAGTGAAAACAGCTAAACTATTCCATTAGGGATGGAAGGCTGAGATAAATGTCAGTGTCCTAGGTTAATTGGTTATGGATTCACAGAACCTAATGTTTTCATAAATGAGGAGACTTTTGTTTCTTATATGATTTTTTTCTAAAAAAAAATCCACTTTCAAATAGAATGAGGATATTATCATCAAACTTATAACTCCAGTGATCAGTGAGCTTCTTTTCTCTTGTTTCAATCTAAATATGAATCATATATTTGATATTTTCAGAGCTGGATCTCACCACTTGCATTTCAAAGGCCAGACTGTGCAAGCCCCCAGCATTATTCCAGCCCTTTGCTCCCTGTATGCCTCTGCTCAAGTTAGACTCAGTACCTGTTGGTATGAGCAGAGCTGACACACTATAGTCTCAATAGTTTTCAATGTATAAATGCAGATATAATCTCACAATGGTTCTATAATTAATTCTCATATTTACCTGATTAAATCTTGATTCTACAGCATCAGCTCTGCAGGGGGTGGTCCTGCCAGTTTGTGTGGCATTCCCATGCTCACACAGAGGGTTGGGTGCTGCCAGCAATGTGGCCAGCTGTCCTGCTTCCCTGAAACCCAGAGGTTCCTGGATCAGATGGGCTCATGTGCTCTGGTCAGCACGGTATAAAACATTGGCAGGACTGTGGCTCACAGCAGGTTTTCAACAACTCACTGTTATTGATTCTCAAGTCCAAAACTATGTCTGTGGCAGTGGGAGATGACTGTTAAAATTAAGAACTGTATGATTTGGTTTTTAAGGTTTGACCCACATTTGCATGAACTTACACTGCTCTGACATTGCAGAAGGACCTTAAAATGGGATATACTGCCTTAATATACATTTAAGCTACATTGCCCTGCCAAAGTGGTATGAACTGCTCAAAATGCAAATAAGAATCATGATCATAGAACGACTATGACTGACTCGGAAAAGATTTGACCATAGGTATAATGGTGCTTAATGCTTAGCATGTAGCATCCCTTAGTGCTTAGCATGTAGTATTTTTTTAATTAAAAGAAAATTCACTCACCAAGTGATACAATTAAAAATTTCTAAGAAACTACTGGTTAAGTATTACCTCATGATTACGTAAATCATGTTTATATCCCTCCTCTTTGCCGTTTATCAGTTTGTATATATTTAGATTCTTTATATTCAGGTAACAGAGATGATATACTTATTTCTATCTAAAAAGATAGTAGAAAAAAAAGGGATTGAAAGAATTTCTTTTCTGTACAAAAAAATACATTTTTATGACAGCAGCCAGTACCTTCACAGTAGGTCCTTTGCTCCTCTATACCACCAAGGTTCAGTCATCCATAACACCATCATAAAGTATCAGAATTGTTTTTCTTTCCACTTTTCAACACTAAAATTCAATATGCTACTACGGAATGTTTCCAAAGCCTTATGCTACATCCTGATAAAATCAGGACTTTTTTTTTTTTTTTTTTTACTTTAAAAAGAAACTCAGTTCATGCAAATAAATACACAATGTGCACTGAAATAGTCAGTTCTCTGATACAGGAGACTTTGCAGAAAAGTCCCTTTATAATTAACTAAACTAGTTCTAATAAAAGAATATTGTTTCAAAACAGAATTTAAACCATTTCGTTCTACTACAAGTTGATGTTTGCTAAGTGTTCAAGCAGACTATATTTTCTACCTAGTTGTTTTAATCTGTTGGTTCAGTGTCACTCTTTTGTAATGTAGTGAATATTTGATTTTGAGGAACGGCTTCTTTATGCAGTTTTTGTAGTCCAGGGTTTCAGTCTTCATTTGATTCTGCAAGCAGGATCTCAGGTTAAGCCCAGATCTGTAGAAAGTGGAACAATCGTTTGTGACAGTGACTCTTCTATCAAACTTTTAATTAAAATTTGGCAAGGCAATCAGGTGAGCGGTACAGAGTATCAGCAGCAGTGATATTTTTAACCCATGAGTCCAAAACTTAACAGTTCTGCTAGCACTTTGTGGGGATTTTTACTAGACTTTCCAGTTCATGCTTTACACCGTGTTTTTATACCCTCGTTAGGTCCTCTAGAGTTAGTTATCCTGTAACAACCCTACCCCCTCACCCCCTTCTATTAACCCATCAAAGAAACAAAGAAGCACTCAAAGTGGGTGCTCCCAGCACTTACTCGGAGCGTGTGATCCCAGGAGCCTGAGCAGAACGCCGTCCCGTCGGGAGACACCCGCAAGGTGCTGACGCGATTTTCATGTCCAAACAGGATGGATACACGGGACCCTTTCAGCACATCCCAGACATTTATGGTGTAATCATTATAGCCTGCAAACAGCAGGCGACCTACAGAGCGAACGAGATTTTACACAGTGAGGTCTTAACGTGCCTTGACTGCAGCAAGAGCCTTCTGCAAGACATTCATCCCCCCGTGAGACACAACGCCGCTTTCCCGTGCCGCCCTCTGAGCACTGCTCCCCCCAGACTGGCTGTGCTCCTGTGGGACAGCCCTGCCCCACCGCTGAGCTGTCCGTACTAAATGCTGAAACAATTAAAAATAATGGGTTACAAACACAGCACATTTTACTTAAATTACACAGAATGTGTTCGGTCAATACAGATGGGAGATGACTCTTAATCGTGACAGACTGAAGAGCGCTTTAACAGCTATTGCAGGGTCATAATACTTTGCTCAGTCTTTGCACAAGAAGTTAAATATAAGTGGTCGAATGATTAGTAGGCAATTTGGTAAGTGATTCATTGCTAACGGGACGAGCTGGGGTGCTTGAGACCGTGACAGAGGCATTTGCCTCAGTCTCAGAGGGAGGGCAGTTCACCACCCACTCATCCCCCACCCAGGGTTACTGGGGAGCTCTGCATTTGTGCTGGGGCAGCAGAGAGAAGACCCGAGCTCATGGCTCAGGATCCGTAGTGAAAAGTGGTAATGTCTCTTTCTTCATGCCCCTCTAACATATTTTTACTATTAATCATTTACTCTCCTTTTAAAAACTATTTATGTAAGCGCGCTTAATAGTTTAGTTGCATTTCATGTTTCCTTTGAAATGTTTTTCATCATTATTGTGAAATTCTAGCCCAGCTGTAGTTAATGGTAAAATATTTCCTGCCTTCAGTAGGGCCAGGAAAATACTTTTCATCACTACAACGAAGCAGTAGCCAGCTAGGTTATTTAAAGAGTAATTATTTTTACAGAGGCAAAAAAAAAAAAAAAAAGCTTCCATGCATTAAATGTTTCTTTTGGCACTTATTACTTTTGGTAACTTTTAATAACAAATGCTTTATCAAATTAAACTGAAAAATTTTTCAGTTCCCCTCAAAATCTCAACACTAAGTTAACCTCCAAAGTTCAAGTCTCACCACTGAGAGAGAAGTCCACACTGGATGCTCCAAAAATGATGCTCTCTTTGGAATAAATTGCTACTTCTCTGTCTGCACGAAGGTCATATAAACGACACTAGGATTAAAACAAAACCAACAAACATGCCTCAGTAAAGGCTGGAGGCACTGGCTAAAATATTTTGAAAAAATGGGAGTGGGAAGTGCAGCCTAACAGGCATCACAGGAAGTGGCTGCTTGGCTTCTTTCCTTCTGCTATTTCTGCCTGCTGTTACTGGGACTCCTTTAACAGGGATCTAAGCAACACAAGGCTGTTTTGTATAAACTCTGTGAAGAATTTGCTTTTTCAAACCACTTCTCTAAGCCTCCTGCCTGTCCTGCTCTAAAGAGATGTGTGGTGGGCTTTGGACCATGGCTGCCCACTGAAAGTCCCCACACCCTCTTGCTTCCTCTCTGTGGTTTCCTACATATTAGGGCATCCTGCTACTGGGGAGGTGCATGGGGACACAATCTCTGAGTCTGGGAGACAGAGGATCAAATCTCTAATCATTGCTGAGAACACGGACCACGAACTAACGAGGCTATAAACACACAGTGTAAAACATGAACAGGAAAGTCAAAGAAAAAGATGGTAGCCCTTGCTCTGAGTAAGCTAGGATAGCAGTCCCTGCCCTTCTATGAGGCCTCTTTGTCTGAAAAACCTACAGGAAAGTAACTGAAGTGAAATAATGCCTTTTTGTACAGATCTTTGGTTTTTATTTCTCATGGAAAATCCCAAATCACCTCTAACAAGCTATACTTCCTGTTTTTATCATTTGCCAGCAAACTTTGACTTGTTTAACATGGAAATCATGCATCAGACTTCACTGCCATGCAGAAAGGCAGTCTGTTAGCCCTGAAATCAAAACACACTTTTGAAACTATTTCAATTGAAACTCCTCCTCAATAAGTTAAGCTTAAGCAAATACTGGTCAGATGGCTTTGCTACTACTAAGAGTTTACTATTGAAAAATGGCTGGTATTCAAGCCTGCACATAAAGAAGAGGCTTTTTGATTCCAAGGCAGTGGGGAGCTGCCAGGTGTGTGAAGTCCAGCTCACCCAATGCTCCAAGCTGATGAATAATTTCATCAGACTGTCCTGATGGGGAGTTGGGGTCACTGCAGGTGACAGCACTGTCATGTGAGCACACCTTTATGGTTTACCTCCAGACAGCCAGGATTATCTGTTACTCAAAATCCCCAAGTATATAAATCAGGTCAAGGATACCAGTCTGTAACACTGAAAACACCAACCTCTTCATTTAAAGAATGAGGTATAAGGAAACTGCCGAAACCTCTGTCAGAAGTACAGAGGTGGAATTTCCCATTCTCCTGCTTAAGGCAGGGGTGTCAAGAATAGTTAAGAAAGAAAAACCCCATCAAATAAACTAGTAAGAGCCTGTGATACTGGGCATAAAAAGAAAGTGCTCTCATCAGAATTTAATGATGGACAATTTCTCCCTATCACACTCTCAGCATCT